TTTTGTTTAATTGAAATTTTCAAAGAAATTAACCCTAATTTTTTATTTGAATGATATCAAATACTCTACAAATAGAATATTAGATTGATTGAAACGATTCTTCCAGAAGTTTTTTTTTTTTATTGATCTGAAAGTTTTTGTATGTAGGACAAAACTTTCAGTAAGATTTTCCGTTCCTCATTATAATTTAAAAAATTTATTTAGAGAGAGGACAAGAGAGAGAGAGAGAGAGAGAGAGAGAGAGAATAGAGAAAGACTTACTCTTGTCAAGAAAGCCATTAATCCAGCCAGAATCGGCATAAAAGCTAACATTATTAGTGTCATTCCCCAACTGAAAAAAAAAAAAGAAAACAAATTTTTTTTTTAAAAATAAGTAAATAATTTTTTTTTTTTAAAATAAGTAAATAATTAGAGAATAAGTAAATAATTAGAAAGCCTGCTTCAAACATTAAAATTTTATTTTAAAGTTAACTAAATTTCATTTAAGTAATTATAAAAGTTAGTCTTCTTTGAATGATATTTTACAAAAATGAATTTAAAAAAAAAAAAAGAAAAATAAAAATTTCGATTTTTTGCTCTTAGAAGAGAGAAAATTTGATTCAAATTAACAAAGCAAACATTTTTGTTTGTTTCTTTTCCTTATAAAATTACATGGAAAAATAATTTGAAATTTACCTGCAAATGAATGCAACAACTATTCCACCGATAAATGCTGTCCCATTTGAAAATAAAATACCCACTTTATCACCAATACCATCTTTTATTCTATCAATTCCACTAAATTAAAAACACTGAATTTTATTGCAGACATTTAATTCATATTAAAATTCAACAAGAAAAATTAATATTAAAACAAATTTTACAAATTCAAAAATTATTTTAACTTTTTTTGCTATATTCCTAAATTAGACTTTTAAATTGTACCTATAATTTTTCCAATTATACTTCTTGTCATCTTTGATACAATTAGGTATATTTTAGAATTTGAAAGAAATCTTTTTTTCTGCTGTATGTATGAATTAATATTTTTAATTGTAAAAAAAAAAAAAAAGTTAGCAAAAAAAAATTTTTTTCTTTCGGATTCACTAATTTTAATTTGTTTAAAAACTTTTTCCTTTCAGATTCACTGATTTTAACTTGTTTAAAAATTTTTTTCTTTCGGATTCACTGATTTTAACTTGTTTAAAAATTTTTTTCTTCCGGATTCAGTAATTTTAATTTGTTAATCCAATTTTGAAATCCTGAATACTACATACTCAGACATTTTCGTTATCAATTCACCAGATGGATGCGAATCGAACCAACCCATATTCTGTCGCAGTACGGCCGCAAAATAACGTTTACGAATTTGATAAATCTGTCGTTCACAAATTGTATGCCAACAAGTCATCTATAAGTTTGAAATTGAAAATCAAAATTTAATATTTCTAAAGTTAAATTAGTATTAAATAGGGAACAGATAATAAATAATATATATAATAACATAATAAATAATATATATAATAACATAGATATATAAGTACACATAAATAATTAAAATTTAATTGAAATTTAAACAGGTAATTAAAATAACATAGATATATAATTACACATAAATAATTAAAATTTAATTGAAATTTAAACAGATAATTAAAATTTAATCAGTCTGATGAAGAATGCTATACAATTCTTATTAAAAAAGACAAATTTTTATAGCAAAATGATGAATAGAATTCGGTTTATCTCTAATAATTATTGTCAAATTTGATTGATTTGTGATTGGATTAATCGATTAAATGATTTAATCTTTTGACAGTTTAAAAAATACCACTAAAATTATTTGTGTAATTGAATGTATCATTCTTAAATGATTGTATAAATTATAATAGTTTAAATATTTAAACAATTCTTCATCTGTAAGTATCTGTAAATAAAATACTTACAGAAATAGTTGCTAGGATGAGAATTGCAATACCGTATCCGAAGTACATAAAGATAGCTTCCATTGCTCCATCATGAAATTTCAATTCATCAAATTCTTCTGTTCCCCATTTTGTTTGACCTTCGATCAGTGTGTCTGATAATCTTTTGAAGATAATTGATTGAACAGCTTGTAAACTACCCTGAGCTATGCTCAGTAAAATGCCAGTTATTAATAAGAAATAATCGAATGGTTTCGCATAACGATACTGAAATCATTAATAAAGCAATGTTATTTTAAGAAAAATTTAAATTTTAAAATTTAAAAAAAAACCAAAAGACAATTCAAATTTTAAAATCAAAAAAAAAAAAAATAAACAAACAATGGATAAGAAAGGCATTCGTTTTGTACTGATTTTCATTTCATTTTTCCGGTTACTATTTTTTAAATTCGTTCTCCATCCGGAATCATTATTTAACCGCCTATAACATATAATTTTGCAATAAAAAAAAAATTGACACAAATATAAATTTTGCAAGTTTTAAATGAAAAAAGCAAGGATGCTGATAATTAGGCATTTTCGATATAAAATTTCCGAACTTCTAATTATTACTTTTCAATGCTTACTGACTGCAAATCATAATCATCGTTTGCCAATTTTTCAGCTTTATTGCTTTCTATCCTTGAAATTGGTGACATTCTGCTAATATCTTTTTATTTTTATATTCCTAAAAGTTTTTGCTTTTATTTAAAAAAAAAAAAAAGGAAATTAATAAGAAATGAATTGTTTTATAATGCATTTTTTGCATAGCTTTAAATTCAAAAGCTTTTTTTGAAAAAAATTCCAACGTTAAAAATAATTATTTTAGAATGATTTTTGGAAATCAATTTTTATTGTTATTTCTGATTATTATTCGATATCAAAAAATATTGCTTGAAAATCAGGTCACCCTTAGGTCATCCTTAGGTCAAGTTAATATGAAATGAGCTTAAAATGAAATAAAGATAGAAATAACCGTTCAGTACTACCCATTCAGATGAATCAAGCTTGTTAAAAATTGAAATTTTGATAATATAAAAAGTTTTATTTTTGCTAGAATTTGATAAGCTGAAGCTTAATTCAGCCTTAATTTACTATTTTGGGTAAACAAGCAAAAATTTTCGGGTAATATTATTTGTGCAAACAGAATATATAATATAGAATAGAAATTGTAGCAAAAACTTTATCAAAAGATTACAATGCGTATATTATCTGTGAAAAATTTTAAAAATCAAAAAATGAAAGAAATTGAAGTTTTAAATTTGAGACCAATATGTACTGAAACGAAGAGCGAACAACTGATAAAGGATTAATGCAAATAGTTTTAAGAAGGATTGAAATTTTTTTGCAATTAATAAAAATGAAAGAAAGAAATCAATGGATAATAAGAATGTGTAATACTGATTATGCTCTTATCATTATGCTCAATTCTTGCTGATAAGCTAAAATTAGAGCAATGCAAAAATAACTTTTGCCTTTGCTAGTTATCATCATTGTTAGCTTATTGAGCAATCGAAAATTATTCATTCAAAGTTCGTTTGATTCTCAAGTATATTCGTTTTGTTTACAACGAGAAAATTCTTCAATGATTAATCTGCTGTTATCACTTATCACTTATCACCTAAACATCAGAGTAGTTTCTTTACAAAATAAAAACAGAACTGTTTGTTTCATGGACTTTGTACGCTGCATCAGATAATAATTTTTTCTTTTCCTTTTCCTTTTTTTTTTTTTGTATGTACAAATTGTTGTTATTAACAGTTGGAAATAATAATTTCAATGGAAGTTAAAAGTATGCAAAATTGATAATAGCTAAAAAAAATTAGTTTAATTTATTAAATTTAATTTTAAATTTCATTCTTTAGCGTAGATGAGAAAATATGAAAATGAACTTTAGTTCGTTCATGTAAAGATAAATGCTACTTATTTTATTAACTTTATTAATTTTTTCGAATTCTTCAATCGATCAAAATGTTGTTCCAGAATTTAGCATAGCTATAGATGAAATTGAAATTTATTTTATTTCATAAATTATGATACTTGACAGTATTCATTATTGTCCAAGAAAATATCTAATCAATTTTAAAAAATTTTCCAGCCAAGTTGTTGATATTTGATATAAGCGAAAATATGACACAATGTTTACTGTTTATCGAGAATATATTTTATTATTAAAAAATTGCAAGGACTGATGAAATAAGTCAAAAATAGCTGAATTCCAAATTTTGTGGTGTATTTTGAGAATTTATAAATTGTATGTAAATTTTATCTATTGACAAGAAGCAATATAATTTAGCAAAACAAAAAGATAAGGTTAAAAAAAAAAGAGTTAGGAAAGTTAATTTCTGGACATTCTCGAAGAGTATGGACGAGAATTATATTTTCAGATAACAAATTTACATATAAATTTCATGCCATCATGGAAGTGCAAATAATTTCTGATTGTGTCGAGAATTTAGAAGTAAAGTAACATTGGCACTATAAAATATCTTTTGTTACTTATCTTAAACAGGCAGACACATTCGTGAATTCTCGACTTTGTACTTTCAACTTTTTAAATATCATTGTCATTGATAATTCTTATCTTATCAGTAAATTTTTTTGATTAAATAAATTACAATTTTCAGAATGTTCGAATAGAAAAAGCACTAAAAATAACAAATATGAGAAAAAAAGAGGAAAAAAATGAGTGAAAAGTTGTTAACTAATTTAAATGTACAAAGAAAAAGAAAGGAAAAAAGTTAAATGTAAGTTAAAAAATTTTTCTCTGATGATAAATTTACATATAAAATATTTAAATTTATTATTTTAATATATCTAAAATGTCATCTATAATTGTCATTTTCTAAATTTTTCATCAGTGAAAACGGTTGGTAGTGAATGATTTAATTTTTTTTCGCAATTTCGTATATTCTAGAAAACAGATTTGGTGCTATTTGTCTTAGAAATAATAAATAAAATAATAAATAATTTTTGCTTAATTTTTTTTTTTTTTTTTGGATATTAGAAAGTAAAAATTTTTTGAATTTTTCAGAATTGATTTAGAATAAAATTTTCATAATGTCCGAGCAATCTAAGCCATCAACTAAACGACGTTTACCTACACGGCGTTACAATCAAATGTTTACAGATCACTACTTTTGGACCACTGATTCATCATCAACAAATGATGTAAGCCAATAAGAATTTTGTTAAAATTTAACTGTCAAAATTTAAATTGTTTTTGAAATCGTTAAACATCTGACTTTAAACATTTAAATCGTTTTTAAAATTTTTAAACATATACAACTATAGTAATAATAAAGTTGAAAAAAAAAAAAAACAAGAATTGAAAGCTAAATGAATTAATCGGTATTACTTTAAATTATTACTTTAATTAATCTTAATTTTTTTTTCTTACTTAATTAGTGTAATAAATGCAATTCAAATTTTTAGATTCATAGTAAATCCACGTCAACGTGTTCGTTATCATCAGCAATAAATGGACAAAAAGGTGACGATAGTTTCATATCGTTAATTAGCAATGCAGGTCTCGACAATGATTCATTATCGGATAGCACAGGAACCGTATCGGATGTTAATGAATCATTAATGAATGCTATCAGTAAAGAACAAGGTGACAGTATACAACAATCAACCAATGATAAAAATATTTCCAAGTGCAATAATCACTCTCAAATTGAGGTTGTATTTAAAGAGAAATTAAAATGTCTTAAATTGAAGCTAATAAATGAATAATTGCTAGTATATTTGACATAATTAGGAATATTATCGAGAGCATTTTGCAGTATATCTGGATGGAAACTATAATTTTACTACTTTCTATTTGCATCTTGCAGAAGAATGAATGCTTCTGCTGCAGGAATCAGTATCACTATCATCACAAATCTTATCATCATCATCGATTGAGCCAGAAAATAAACTTATCAGTCGAGCTTTGGAATTAGCACAATCACTTTTTGGACCAAATACGACAATTGTTAAAACATTTCAAGCAATTCCAATTCAACATGAATTTGATTCTGATGATAATGATGATGATACAACTCAAATTACTCGTATGTTTGCTGATATTTTATTTTCTATATTTTCACTGAAAAAAAATTGAAAACAAAAAAAAAAAAAACATTTAGAAGTCATTAGATATTACTAAATTTTATAAATCTAGAAATATTACATATATTTTTAAATATTAATTAATTAATTAAAGGATGAAATTTATTCTAAGGATTGGAAGGTAAGAAACAGAGTGGTGAACTGGTAGAAATTGATGAAATGAAACAAAATGGAGGTACAACTACTCATAGAACAGATACATTTGATAATTTCAAAAATCGAATTACTTCATCAACATTTACCGCTCAAACATCCTTATTGAATCGTAGTGATTTTACAGCTCTTGAGGTTAACATTTTTTTTTTTTCATTTTATTTTTGAATTTAGATATTATTTAGCGATCAGTTAAGATAAATTTATGTAAATTCATTAAAGGAAAAAAAGAATTCATTACTTTTTGTTATTTTAGATTAAATGCAAGAATTTATTTTTTGATGAATCAATGATTTAACTAAATTTTCTAACAAAGCAAAAAATTTTTTATTCTTCTTTCTCTTCTAACTATCACAAAAAATTTCCACAAAAAATTTTTACAAGCATTTAAAAACATAAAATTGTCTGAAAACATATAATCCTTCTATCATTTTCAATTACAATTCAATTACAAATTATATTGTTTACTTTTTTCATTGCAAGATAATGCGAAAAAGACAGAAAGTAAATAAAATAATCAATTAGTCCTCATTAATTCTAAAAATTTTGCTTGTAGCTTTTTTTTTTAATTAATTGACATAAGTTTATCTTTTTTTTATGTTATCTAACAACTAAAATTTTAAGTTGCATTGCTTTTCTGGAGACAACGAATAAAACAACAAAAAATGAATTGATGAAAAAGAAAAGAAGCAAAAAAATGACTATTTATTAAATTCTTTAGTTTCAAGATGGATTCGACTTCTCATTTTTTTTAATTTATAAAACTAACTGAAACTCTTTTTCCTTCATATGATAATTTATAATATTTTAGTTTTTTATCATTGTCATTCATTCATTTCACTTTTGCCATCATCATCATCATCACTTTTGCCATCATCATCATCATCACTTTTTGCCATCATCATCATCATCACTTTTGCCATCATCATCATCATCATCATCATCACTTTTGCCATCATCATCATCATCACTTTTGCCATCATCATCATCATCACTTTTGCCATCATCATCATCATAACTTATGCCATCATCATCATCATCACCCTTTTTGCCATATCATCATGGTCATCACTTTTGCATCATTATCATCATCATCACTCTTTTTGCCATATCATCATGGTCATCACTTTTGCCATCATCATCATCATAACTTTTGCCATCATCATCATCATAACTTATGCCATCATCATCATCATCACTTTTGCCATCATCATCATCATAACTTTTGCCATCATCATCATCATCACTTTTGCCATCATCATCATCATCACCCTTTTTGCCATATCATCATGGTCATCACTTTTGCATCATCATCATCGTCATTATCACTTTTGCCATCATTATCGTCATCACTTTTGCATCATCATCATCATCATCACCCTTTTTGCCATATCATCATGGTCATCACTTTTGCCATCATCATCATCATCATCATCATCATAACTTTTACTATCATCATCATTAATCCGCAGGTTTTAAATGCTATTTATCGTAACGCGCCTGTTGGTGGTTCCCATTTTGTGAAACCTACATCAACTACATTTTCATATATACCACAAAATGATAAATTACAATCTCAAGTGAAAACTAAAACATGTAAGTTACTTTTTTTTTAAAAAAAAATTTCATAAAATTCTTGAAAAAATCAATACTTCGAAAATTTGGAAAATTTTCCTTTTTGAATTACTATTTGAAATTTCAAGCAATATAATATATATTGATTTTACAATTGCAACACAATTGTCTCATTGATAAGTTTTTTTTTTTTTTTTAGACAATTGATAAATAATAATTTATAGCATAGTTCTTATCAAATTCAGTAATTACTTTAATCATTTATCAGTTTTCTATTATATCTAAATTATAGCAACAACAACGAACACAGAATCAGAACAATCAACACACGGACGTGATGAAGAGTTTATGCATCAACAACAACAACGTGATCTAATGGATGAATATTTTCATCGATCCACCGATCTACATCATATCAAGACAACTTTTGGTCGTCAAGGACAATTATGGACTGATCAAAAGTACTACGAATATTATCAATACTTATGCAAAGTAATATTGCTTTACTTTAATTTAATCTTAAAGTTTTTTAAATAGTACTATTGTTTTTGTCTGCTTTTTCTTTTTTTAATTTATTTTACTGTTTATTATAACATTTAAATGCTATTAGAGTGAGAAAATATATGATAAATAAAACTACGAGTCGCATAAATGTTAATGAAAAAGTTGAGAAAAAGAAATTTTAAGAAAAATTCTTAAAATATAATCAGTTATCAGTCAATACTGTGTGATAATTCAACAAAGTATGTGCAACAATTAAACTTACATTTCACAATGAATGAATTAGTAAAATGGTAGCAGTGGTTGAATTTAATTTTGAAGAGGTGAAAAAGTGAAAAAAATAAATGAAATTTTATAATTGAAAAAAATAACTTTTAATTGTTAAAGAAATGGAATGTATTTATGAAAAAGTTTGCAATGATATTACTTATGATAAAAGTACTAATTAGAATAACTTATATAACAAACTAAAAAATAGAAAAAATTAATTTCAATATAAATTTGTTGAAATTTCATAGGGTATCAAGCGTGCTCTCTCTCATCCTGGTTCATTTGATTTAGACTGTGGTGCTGGAAGTGTTCATACTCCATCTAATCAACAAGCTAATGGAATATGGTATTAATATTCTTTTTTCTATTTTTTAATTTTCAAAATTAAAAAATAAATTAATCTAAGTGAAAAAAAACAAGCTCACATAATAATAATGTATGATTCAAGAGTGTATACTATTAAAATTTCTTATAATTTATTTGTTAATTAGTTTTGTTTTGTTAAATAATTGTTTTATTAAAAAGTATAAAAGTAATTCTGATATTCAAATAATATTCAAATTATTGATAAAAGGAAATATAACTAAACTTTTTTTTTTTTTTTTTTAAATTTTAGCCGCGCAATGAAATCTGATCTCTATTATCAGTATAGTCCAGGACCGGAAATATATTCAAGAAAAGTATTCGTCGGTGGACTACCAATTGATATTGATGAAAGTATTCGTTATATTTATTGGTTCTAAAAATTTGCAACAAAATTGCAATTTATCATTTTAAACAATTTTCAGACGAACTTACGGCTACTTTCAGTCGTTTCGGTCCTTTGATTGTGGATTGGCCAAATAAAAATGAAAATAAAAGTTACTTTCCTCCTAAAGGTATTTAATTCTTAAATATTTCATTTGATTGTTTAATCAGTGATAAAAAGAAAGTATCAAATTATTTCTTATCAATCTAATTTAATAATTTTTTTTTTTGATGTTTACATTTGGTTATAAATTGGTCGTTTCTTTCATCTTTAAAATTTCACAGTAATGTTTCAATTCAGGTTACGTGTTTCTAATCTTCGAATACGAAGTTAGCGTACGAGCATTGGTACAGTCATGTTTTGTAGAGGATGAGAAACTCTTCCTGTACATTTCAAGCCCGTTATCACCTGATAAATTGGTTAGATAAGTTTATTTTTAAATGTACAATAAATTCAATTCATTTTTTTTTTGTTTTTGATTTTATAAGAGTTATTATAGAAATTATTTCGTTTACTTATCATTATATATTAACACTGTAATTTGTCACAATCTTTGGGTACCAAAAATTTTATCAAAATTATTTATCAATAATAGATAATAAATATTCTTTTCATTTTTTTTTTTTTTAAGGTACAAATTAGACCTTGGCGTCTTGCAGATGCAGATTATGTAGTTGAAGCAAGCATTCCACTATACGCTCGACGAACTGTTTTTGTTGGTGGAGTACCACGACCCATTAAAGCAGGTTAACTTAAACATTTAGCTTTTAATTTTAACTCTTTTCTTAAATCATTTCACACTTTTTTTTTTTTTTTTTTTTGAAATTAGCTATAATGATTCATTCTAGTGGAATTAGCACATATAATGGATCGCTTATATGGAAGTGTTGGATGTGCTGGTATTGACACTGATGTTGAATACAAATATCCAAAAGGTAAATTATTGTTATTATCAATTATTAATTTCAACTATTTTAGTACTGCTACTATCTAATTAATTAACACTTGATATTTTTAAATTATATTGTTATAAAAAAATTTTTAAAATATAAAATTATTATTAAAAAAAAATTATTTTTAAATTATATTTAAATTAAATTATTTTAAAATTATAAATTATATATTTAAAAAAAAATTATATTATAAAGTTATGTTTTTTTTTTTTGTTTTTAATGAACTATTTGAAAAATTGTTAAAAATTTGAAGTATATAATCTTTAAAATGAAAATTAAACTATTAAATAGAGTAAAGTGCTTTTTGCAGGTGCTGGTCGTATAGCATTTACAAATCAAAATTCATATATGAAAGCAATTACCGATCGTTATGTGCAATTAAGTCATGGTGAAGTGGAGAAACGAGTAAGTATATAAATGATTTGTGCATTAAATTTTTAGACTAAATAATTGGTTAAGAAAGTAATTGAAAGCTATTAAAGGTTGAGTTAAAGCCTTATGTATTGGATGATCAGCCATGCGATGAATGTGACGGTGAACGTTGTGGACATCGACATGCACCATTCTTCTGTCCACAACTTTCTTGCTTGCAATATTATTGTGAGAAATGTTGGACTACAATACATGGTTGTCGTACACGTGAAGATCATAAGCCATTAGTTAAAGAAGCATAAAATTATTCATTCATTTTTTTTTTTTTTTTTGAAATAAAACTTAAACACAACAATATTTATTTCATTTTTGTAATATTAATTTTAATTTCGTTGTAATTTATTCGAAATTGATTGATCTTATTTCTATTTTATAATTTAATCTTGAAAGAGTGAAAATTTGATTGAGAAAACTATGCATAAAATTGTTCAATGAATATTAGCAAAAAAAAAGAAAATATGAAATAAGTAAATATAATATGTTTTAGTTAATTAGAAAAATATTATTGATAAATATATTTGTTAATGTGTAAAAATAATAAATATGAATAAATATTTATTAAAATTCAAATTTATTTTAATTTGTTTTTTTCCAAAGTATTTCCTATATTTTTAGCAATAAGCAATAAGATACGAATAGCTTTAAAAAAAATTTTCTACAGAATTTCGAATTAGATTGTTAATATTTCCCTTACAATGGCAAATTTTGAAGTACAACAAAAGGATACAATTGAAAGATATAAGTAATATCTTATCTTATCAGTATAAATAGTAAGAGAAAAGTATCAGAAAGATATACACTTTTTGTTATGGAACCGGAAATGATATTAGGTACTGTGTAATCATGAATGACCACCGGTTCAATTTCCTGTTCTTTAAATCTTGAAGTATCAACATGCATCATTGCATTTGTAGGCCTGATAATGTTGCATAAATCACTGGTGCAAAAACAATAATGAGTTTGCAACGGATGTGCAGGTGTAGTTTTTAATAGAATATTTGACTGATAGCAACCACTGGATCGGATTTTGCTTGATGGAAGAATTAATGTTGAACAACCGTGTGACATACCTGTAAATAATGGATTTGAATTATTCCTGTTTCCGGTAAACTTCACTTCTATTTGTTGCTATATCGATCTATCGATCAAGATAATCAGCAATATTGATTATCGATCGATAGCAAGATAGTCAAAAATATTGATTATCGATCGTTAACAAGATAATCAGCAATATTGATTATCGATCGATCAAGATAATCAGCAATATTGATTATCGATCGTTAACAAGGTAATCAGCAATATTGATTATCGATCGGTAACAAGATGGTCAACAATATTGATTATCGATCGTTAACAAGGTAATCAGCAATATTGATTATCGATCGGTAACAAGATGGTCAACAATATTGATTATCGATCGTTAACAAGGTAATCAACAATATTGATTATCGATCGGTAACAAGATGGTCAACAATATTGATTATCGATCGATCAAGATAATCAGCAATATTGATTATCGATCGATAACAAGATAGTCAACAATATTGATTTAATAATTATTCTAATTTATTCAAATAATTTTTAATATTTATATTAAATAGATTTAATCGTAAAATGAAACAGTACTTTGAGATACTACTATGTCAGATACACTTTGTAATATTTATTTACTTTATAATATTATTTTTTTTTAAAAAAAAGAAATAATAATAATAATTGTTGTTGTTATTTGAAAAAAAAAAAAAAGTACCGAACAATAGAAATTGTTCAGTTTTGATATCAAATGTAGTAACATTTAATGTATAGCACGGATCACGACATATTTGAATTCTGGCCTTTCTTCCTGATTCACATTTCGGTTGTCGTTCATTTCCACTAATGCTATCTTGAAGAATTCTTGGATTGTTGAAAAATGCTCCATAATGCTATAATTTATTTAAATTAATTGCTCCAATTTCATTAGAAGTTTTGCAGTAAGTAAATATGTTATTAAGTTAGTATATCAAAAAGAAAAAAAAAAGGTAAATACTTTGGGCTCTTTTTTTGAGGCTAAATTCCTTCGTCTCTGTCCTACCGTTACATTTACTTTTTTTTTTTTTAATTTCTGGCTCATTTTACTTAGCCTTATCTTGTAATGCATTACACCTGCGATGGAAATGAAATATTTTTATTCTATTATTAAGGAAGGAGCTAATTTTTATTCCATTTTTCAACTTTCTGAAAGAGTGTAGATAGAATTCATTTGAATTAAATATTGAAATAATTCTCTACTCTGCAAAGATGTTATTTTCTAGAAATTAAATTCCAAAAAAAAAAAAAGAGAAAAAGAAAAAGTTGAATTTGAGAAAAACTTATACAAACCACTTCGATGTTTGGATCTGAACATTGGAAACAAAGATGTTGTGTAGCGCATAGTATGACAACCGATAGAGAATTTAAAAATATCAAAGTAATTTGATCATAGCAATGATATCTTCCACTCATTTATCGATTTGGTTCAGTTTAACTCATATATTCATATTTCGAATATAACTTAATTTAAAATATTGATAAAGTATTGATAATATTGATATAGTATTGATAAATTGATAAAGTTAAGCTTTGATCTATATAGTCAAAGATGGCAAGAAGAGTAGTAAATGAATTTAAGGTAAGCTCAAGTTCAAAAGTGGTATACTAGTTGAAGCATTCTTGAGAAATGTCGAGACTAATCAATGTCAGCAAAAGCATTTATGCTTGGCTCAGAATTAATGCTTGACCATTAGTAGATTAAGCAAATTTACAAAGTACAATTTGATTTAAATAACCGATCATTGATTCAAAATTTGTTAGACAATATCATCTGAAATATTTAATCAACAAGCAATAATCAAATCAATAAACATAAAAGGATAATGTATTTTAAAAAAAAAGTTCTTCGTTGAAAAGTAGTTCCAATTTGAATTTAAATGCAAAAAAAAAATACTAGTTTATTTCAAACTTTAGAAATGGATAAATCAATTTGAAACTATTTTCATAGACAAAAATAAGTTAGCTAAACTGTGTGTGTGTGTGTGTGTGTGTGTGTGATATGATAAGCAATGATTAAAGATGACATTTATGATAATCGATTATTTTTAATAATTTCACCTTTCATTGTATTATATTTTGTATAAATCGATGAATCATTAATTGATGAGAAAGTAATAAATAAATGTGGGAATGAGAGTGGTAAATTTTAAGAAAATTTAAAAAGAAACATTATCAATTTACAATAATGTCAAGTCAACAAAATTGCTATGAGTTTTATTTTGGTTTTTTAATTTTCCCATCTGGGAGGAAAAATTGAGAATTCTTAAACTTAATTTAAAATGACAGCTAAGAAATGCATTCTATAAGATTCAAAATAGATTGGATATCAAATAAACCTTCTTGACAGAATTGTCTCTCCAATCTCATTTTACCTCTTTCCCTCCTACTGTGTCTCTGCAAGGTCAGTCATCTCATTGCAAATTATCATGACAACATTAGAAAAAAAAAAATGAATTAAAGATAAAATTATATGAATAAAAATAAAATTAAATTTATTTTGAAAATATCAAAAAACAAACAGTAAGTTAAAATTATGTTTTACTCATTTAATAAAAAAATTTAATAATTTCATAATGAGTATTCATTCTTTATTTTACTATAAAATCTTTTTCTGATTTAAATTAAATTATTTAAGTAATTGAGTTCAATCAATTCATTCATTTATTTTTCTTTTCAATTCAAATATTGAAAAGAACTAAAATAATGCAAAAAAGTAACTTAGAAGTCAAATTTAAAATAAAAGAGGAAGAAGTTCTAATCTGTTATAAGCGCATTTGGACCACTTGAAGAATAGTTCATTCTGCAAAGGATTTAATAGTATTAAGCTAAAGTATCTGAAATAGAAAATATACTAATTTTATAATATGAAAAAAAATAATATTAAAAAAAAAATAATATTGGAAAAACTATCGTTAATATAACAAATTATTACTTGCAGTAAACTTATTGAGGAATAGCAGATTTTAAATAAATTAATTAAATTTCAAAATATATTCAAAATTTTTTCAATTAAAAATTGTTTAGAGCTTTTCGAAATGAAATTTTTTTGAAATAAACTATTCAAAATTTTTTCTTTTAAACAAAATTAAAAAAAAAAAGACATAAAGAAGTGAATTAATCTTATTACTATTGCCACTTTATTTTCAAAAATTTCTAATGATCAAAGGCATACAATGAATAACTTTATGTACTGTACTACTTTGAAAAATAATTTTCAGAATTTTAAGAAAAACTTGTGTGAATTCTACAAGATCAAACTCTTTCTAAATAAATTTTAAAAAATTTTCAAAACAAAAGATTAACAGTGTGAAATTTCATTAATTTCAATAAAACTTTTTCATTTAGAAAAAAAAAAAAAAGGATTGATTTTATGGAAGTGTTGATAACTGATAATTATTTTTTATATTATTTTATTTTATTATTTATTTTATAATGTTCAGCAATAAATAATAAAATATCAAAGAAATTGAAACTATCAAAAGTTAGAAAAATAAAGAAGAGAAAAGCATATAATTTTTTTTAACTAAAAATTTGTAATAATTTCTGAGATAATTTATACACAGAAATTACTTTCCATTGTATATTTATTTGAATTTAAAGATTAAATTAGGATTAAATTGAGAACAGATGAAAAGAGTGCTTAAAATTTCTCAAACACAATGATTAAACTTTTGCTTCTCGAAGATTATCAAATAATAATTTTTCGCATTTAGCAAATTATTTCAAAGAAAAGTCATTTTAACAATGCAAAATTAACATAATTTACTACTCATTCATATTTTTGCAATTTTTTTTTTTTTTTATGAAACTTTAAAATTAAATAAAAAAGTGAAATAGAACAAAAAAAAAAAAAATTCTACACAATATGTCTATGTCTAACTATGCTAATTAAAAGTATCGTAAATTTAAATTCAACAATTTAGCATCGAATTACATCTTTGAAAAATTTTTTTTTTTTGAAGTACGCAAAGGAAAAAGAACAATTTTAACTTTTAATGAAATAAAAACAAACAAGTGAATTATGCTACTAATTCCAGTATTTCATTAAAAAAAAAAAAAAGTTTTGTTAAATTTCGTTTTCCTTTCCTTTTGTTCACTGATAAATTGATAAGACATTTCATTAGACTTTTAATCTTATCACTAATCGAATATTTATTATATTCAGCAAACT